TTGTCAATGTTTTCAAGAGTCTGGACTCTAGATCCAATGTGTTGTATTTTCCAGTGACTGCTGTACTCCTAATTTTTGATGGTGTCACTAAGAAGTTTCCGGAGGGTGCCGAGACAAGTTTTTGGTTAAAGCTCAATTAACATCCATTGACTATTTTCCCACAAAATGCTCCGGCTCCCGTCCCACATTAGTTTCATGTGCCCTCATATTGGTTCGCGTCTAGCAGAAAGGAACCAAGCCACATCAGCTATTGCCAAATTTACTCGGGCAATTTAATTTTTAGTGTATTTTCCGAAGGAAAGATACATGCTATTTACAATATAGAACGTTTGTGCGGATGTATTTTTGGAATTTATTTCGCACTAATTAGAAAAGACACTGTTTGCACAAAAATCCGCATAACCGTTTTCATGTAAAACATTAAATGGCCAATTTTTGCGACAGCTGATGTGGCTTGGTTCATTTCTGCTTAACGCGGTCCATCTGTAGATCTAATGCAACTTTCTTTAACTCGTGTCATTCGTGTGTCATTTCACTCTCTAATTATCCCTGTTTTTTTTTGTTTCAGGTGAGTTTGAGATTTGTTTAAAGTTTGATTTACTCCTACGGAAGCTAAGCCGGGAAAGAAAGAAAGTAAGTTAAGTTATTCGCTAATGAATTCATTTTGTTGAATGATGACCCCGGTCATGGACACGTGCATCGTGCAAGCCATAAATTGCGCAGTACCGAGTCTCTAATTGTAAATCTATCCCTCGTGTATGGCTCCCGCTCCGTCAGCTATTAATTGCAGCACGCAATTTTCCGATCGCAGAATCATTTTAAGGCAAGAAGAAAGGATTTAAGCACGAACTACTTAATTTCACTTTATAATATTGACCAATGATGAGTAAAAATAATTCCATCGTACTTTTAGGGGCCGTTCACAAAGTACGTGACGGTAAAAATCAGATTTTTTATTCTCTCCCTTCCTCCCTTAACGCACTCAGGACAAATGTCTGGGCCCTTCTAAAAAACCATTTTTAGGTTTCTTTGTGTTTTTTATGTATTTTGGTCGGAGAATAATTGTTACAACGTTTCGACTTTTCGTCTAAACTTTTTCGCAAATCTCACGCCAATTTCAGCGTTACCAAACGCACATCCTGGTCATATTTTATCTTCCTGCCACGAACTCTTAACACAGGCTCAGAACTCCCCTCCCCCTTAATCTTTATATTTTTTTAATGTCATAGTTCTTCTACAGTTCTTGATCTTGTAGAAAATGAGAACCGTCATTAAATTCCTCTTATAAATTGTTTTTTAAAAGCACAAAAATACAAAGGGAGCCTAAGCGATAGACTCGGAAATAATATTCGACGAAAAGCTTTGACGATCTCGATTTTTGCGTTTTTAAACTCTTTAACTTACTCTTTCATGTAAACCAAGCAGGGAAGAATGATTATCTTGTTTTGGGAATATTTTTTAGCGCCCCTTTTAGTTTTCCCCGTTCGTTGACCCACAAACGTATATTGTGGTACTCACGCTCTCGTACTATGGGCCTGTATGGCTCCACTGCACTGGGTGCGGTGCCCCAATCCTTTTTATAACTTGATTTACGGGAAAAAAACGTGCACAGCTAAACCATTTTGTTCCCTCAGACGGGAAGGGGTAGGTAGATGGGTTTAGATAGTGATTTACACGGTGTCATGGGATGTCAGTATATCACTCGTTGGCGAGTGTCTGCAGGAGGTCCTCTGCACCCCGCGTCTGACAGCTATTTCGAGCCATCGGGGGAGCTAAAAATATTTCCGGAGGGGACTTGCGAAAATCAACTCGAATTCGGTGCCCCTGAATTCTCGTGTTGCCTAAAAATTCAAGAGCGGTCATCGGACAAAGTTCCTTCAACGTGGGAATTGAATTTGACCAATGATGTTTCCTTGACTTTCCACGGTAATAATATCGTTCAATGTGGAAAAATATGAAGTATTTTTCATAAAATTTTCAATTACTTCTATGTCAGATAGGGTCGTTAAAACACCTTGTAATATTCCATTGAATTTGTTCTTTTGCATTTTTGCAATTGTAATTTTGTACGATTTGTCACCTTGTAATAATGAAACGTTACGTTTTAATTATATGACTAAGAGAGGGTCATAAAATTTATCTCTCTCAGTTTCGGGTTTCCTATTTGGGTAGCTTTTATTTTTTTGTCTTGATTTAATTTTAATGACAAGCTGAACACTACTTAGGTGTAGAGGAAATGTTAAAAATTGAACATTGGATACCACACTACCTCAATATATGTAATGTTTTCTATTAACATGTGTAGTTAAAACAATTATCTTCCTCTTAGAAAATGATTACTTTAGTTCCAACAGACTGAACGGCCCCCCCCCCCATTTTACTGACATATTGATCTTTTCATTTCTTTATTTATTTCACTGAACACACAGGTGTATTAGTTACAACCCTATTTGGCTCTGAGACAATTTTTTCATTCCAAGTCCTCTTGAAGACTTCACCTTAACATCCGTGCGGTGGATGTACATTTCAATGCGTCGATTTATTACCAGAGGCGGATACAGAAATTTGGCAACACCGAATTCTCTCCATTTAAACTTATGTTAAATAATCGATTCTTGTCGGAGCACCGGCCCCTCCAAGAATCGATACATTTCCATAGGTTAAAATGGAGAAAAAACAATGTTGCCACTTTGCTGGATCCGCCAATGTTTATTACAGAACAGCCACAAAATGAACTGTGTGTACGGTGCACCCTACAGTAAGTCCGTTCGGTGGCGAATTAATTCTCATCCCTTATTTACAGTCACGTCTTCGAATCCTTGTACTCGGAGCACGGCTGATGCCCATTTCTCTTGGTTTAGATACAGTGGTGATACAATGCAGTATCAGCGAGATGGAATTCCACCCTCAAATTTGTGATTCGTTCGGAAAAGTCACATCAAAATCACAATCTTATCTAAGTAATGCCTATTTTTAGTTTACATTCAAGATGATAGATAAGAGCGAATAAGTAAATATGGGCTTTCAGCAATTCATACTTTGGATAATCTACAGCAATTTTTTTAAAGACATATAACTCGCATAGAAATGGCAGCAAAATACAATGATCGTAAATAAAAAAAAAAGTGTCTTGTTTTAATTTTTTGGTGTTGTTGTTGGTAATAGAAAACGACACTAAAAATTCCGTCTGGAGTGTCGCGAACTTTCCGTCCCAACGAATTCGGTCTCCTTTCTATTTTCTGTCTTGAGTCCTCATCTGCTCCCTCGGAATATCTTAATTGGGCATGAAATTGCCGAAAATTAAACGTACACTCAACGGAAAGAAATGGGGAGCGACGGAGAGGGAACTCCGGCTCGCGTCATTCCTTCACTGTCGCATTTTGGTTGTTGCCACATTTCTCTCGAAACACTATTTTCTTACCTCAATGAAAAATACAACCTTTTTTTCAATGTACCAGTTAACAAACTTCAAATCAAAGTACTACTCTGTCGCGATGATGAAAATTGGCGTATGAGCCTTTAGGTGTTGCCAAATTTCCACCGGCAAATCATTAATTTTCAGGAAAATGTTTGAATATTTTTACGCAAATTTTTCAGATAATTTTGTTTGTAATTCGATTTTGTTGTTATGAGTATGAGTTTCATTGTCCCGTAACGGAATATTATTTTGTCATCATTTTGCGTGGAAAAAGACCCAGAGGCATTAATTTTTTTCAATAATTTTTAATGAATGATTCATGCGTTTTCACATTTTCTAAAAATAGTCTGTGTGAGCACAAAGATCCACAGTTTTCCATCATGCTGAAACTTAAAGCGTCCACCCGTGGGTGCCTATACCACTCCAGAACTGAACTTGTTTTTGTCGGTATTATATCAATTTTCTGTGAGGTTATGAGCGCTGTGAATGCACTTTAAAGAAGGCGGAGGCTTAGATATTAATATGTGGGGATGCTGGGATTGTTTTCAACCCTACTTTCTTTTAGAGCCGTTTCTCGGTGGTGGAAGCTCTTACAAACTCCTCTCCTTGAATATTACGTCTTCTCGAATTTCGTCACACAATGAATACAGAGTATGAATTGAAGGATGAATCTGTTCTAAATAGTTGCTGCAAGACTTTCCAAATAGACTGATAAATCTTACAGACTGATATATCATCATGCGGAATTTATTGCGAAGATTGTTTAAACAGGCATTACCCTGTATCTGTGACAGCAAAAAAAAGCTTCATAAATTGGACGATCGTTTTCTTCCTATAAATAAAAACCAATAATTACTTTGTCGAGCGCTTAAGAGACAAGAGACAAAATGACATTGAAAAATGGCCGATCGCATTGAGCCATCATTGTCTTTTAAAATTGAAAGGAAGGCAATGATAACTAATGCAAAGATAAAATGCCCGGAAGAAAAATGTCTTTGATTATGAAAAATTTTAAGGTAGTCACAAACGTACCTTAAAATGTATGAAACTTGAAAAATGTTTTGTTTTGTATTATTAATTTTTTGTTTAGGCAAATCACAGTAATACCCTGCGAGAGTTTTTTCTAAAGTTGTTGGATTTCACCTGAGATTTTATGAAAATGTCTCTCTTGTGATGCTTTCGTAAGGATCTCTTTTGGTCTTCCCGTCCCTTATTGTAAACCATATAGTGTATTTCAAAGAAAAACGCTACTGATTTACAGGACGACTAGAATGGATTTCCGTTGCAATAATGACCTCATTTAAAGTGCCCATTGTGGAAGTTGTCCATCGTATAAATAAACATTCAATAAACGCCCAAGTTGTCCTATGTCCATATGGCATGCGTGCGGAAAGTTTTGAGGTAAATGAAGTGTAAAGGTTAAACGTCCAGGCTTGTTTTTCTCTTAACAAATGAGAACTTAATCCGAGTGAGAGCAAACTGCAGAGTGCAAATAGAAAACTTTCAAAGAATCCTCACCCGTGAAAAAAATTCAATAGAGTCTGAAGCTACACTGTTACTCATGAAGGATCGGTGCGTGTTTCTTCACGTCATCCATACCTTCGAGTCTTTTAACCACTGTAAGACGTAGGCAAGTGTTTTCCGAACTTGTAGCTTGAGTTCAAGTGGAGCACCACATTACTCGCTGAGTGTGTAAGTACGCGGCATTGAAGTGAAGTACCGAGGATACTCTGGCTCGCTGATCGCACTTGGCTCCTACATGTGGGCTCGTCAGTGTGGTTCTTGTTTCTTGGATAGAGCCCTCTTCATATCAAGTAGAGCGAAGATTAACGCGATTCCTCAATGGTTAGTGATGCGAAAATTTGCCGCGCAGGGAGATCTATCTCTGGTTTTATCTCTCTAATTTGGTCTACCTTTTGAATTAAGGAACTACTACTCTATGCCCATTCTAGAAACGACGTATTTGCATTGTGCCATCAACGTACCTTTCTTTTTGTACCAATCTACCAAAATTTTCAGAAAACGTACGCATGAAAATTTGAATATATGAGTCAAGAAGTAGTTTGGGAATATTTTGATACCATTTGGAATTCTGCGTCTAATTTATAAGTTGCATCTGCCTAGTCTCCTGTTTATGGTCCTTTTATTTTGGTAAGAACTCTCACCTCACC